TAGGAGTAGAATGGACTAAACTGAGAAGAAAAGTCCTCTACCTATTTGCAATTTTTGCAATCTCTTTAGTCCTGTTGCTCGTGTCTGAGCGTGGTTCTCTCATATGCCTCTGGTATGCATGCTGGTACACAGTTTATACGGGACTTACAGTTTAACATTGATTTCGAATGACGAAGTTTTTGTTTAGAGAAGTGTTCTTGACAAGGATACTCTCGGTGAATTGCCGCTTCCTTTCGAAAGCAAAAAACGAGTGAAAATATTTTGATTTTACTGAGAAAAATCCGGGATCTCTAGCATAGCAGACCAGTGCGCTGTCTACTTCGCTTTCAATTTTCGCAATAATTAACGAGGTATCAATTGCTAAAATTTGCCGAAAATTGGTCTTCAATAATTTTTTTACTCAAATACTTTCAGAAATTTTTTCAGAATTTTTTATCAATTTTTTAGTACTGCATTTTCTTCATTTTTAACAATATGAGAAAATACGGTATTAAAAAATTTTGAAAAAATTCTAAAAAAATTCTTAGAGCTCTATGAAAAAAAAGTAAACAATTTTTGTCTCTTGCAGTTTATCTTTTATTATTAAAGTTGATAGTATTTGAGTAAAAAATGAAGATCAATTTTTGACAATTTTTAGCAATTAATATTTTGTTAACTATTGCGAAAATTGCAAAATGATAGAGGACCTTTCTTTTCAGTTTTTAGTTCATTCTATGCAAAAGATTTATCATTATTTTTCAAACATGTATATATGTAGATATATGCAGATAAAGAATTCAAAATAAAATTATAAAGTATGATATTTTTCTTATCATGATTGTCAGTCGCACTTAATGCAGATTTCTTCGATATAAAAACTAAATTCTAAATTCTTTTTCTAACATAAATGCTTTTATGGATGTCTCTATATAATTTAATTTAATATGTTTAAATTTTATTTAAATAAACTTAAATTTATTTAATTTAATGAGTTGAAACGGAGTGTTCTGATTGGACGACGAAATTTGTCATAATGTATTGCCAATCGTGGATCATATTGAATGTCCATTTGTCAGTGTCTTCTTCCTGAGCGATAATTCCGACAGCGACGGACAAAATCAAACTTTCTATAACGGAGACAATGCCATTGTGGAATCTGTCTCATGTTCTCGATCGCCTGCAAATTATATAGCTTAAACAGAATTATTAGGATTACTGTGAACAAAAGACTGAAAAATTACCAGTGCGTTAGAAATTAATGAAAGTGAATAGAAGCGAATAGAAGGAAAAAAATTGTCTAACATAATGACCGACCGCATTAATCGAAATCAGGTCGAAACTACTGACAATGAGAAGGTTTAAATTATTGACATCTTGGCGAAAAGTCTTCCTGTTTACAAGATCACGTACCACCTACGACTCCAATATGGTTGGACACATCATCGCATTCTCAGACAAATAAAGATTAGTTTAACGAGGACCGTTCAATGACCAATGTCCACTTGTACTTTCGACATCCCACGTGCTTACAATAAAGAAAAATATGAGTTGCATTTCTTATAATTGATGCTCAGCGAGAAAAGGAAACGTTATGTTTGTGCGTCATTTGTGTCTTGTACATCAGCAAAATCCCGTGATTTAAAATCGGTAAATCGTATAATTTTCAACTATATCATTCTCAATATTAGTATCGACTCCGACGAGATATCGCATACAAAGACACTTACTGCTTCGCTGTTGCTGGCGGGATATCCCAAGGCGATCACTGCGAGTAATAGTGTTGTAAATAGGTACGACATCAATTTTAACGCAGTTAGCTTCATTCTTAAAACCGGTTTTTGTTCCGGTAAAATAAGAATGCTTAAGAAGGTCTCGATTCTGGATTTTTTTGGGGTTCTTTCCAGCCTATTTCGTTTTCTCGATTAATGATTAATCGGATCCCTCTTCGAGTTCTTCCCGAACAGTTTCTTCCTTCAGTGAAAAATTCAAATTAATCGAAATTTATCTGCATCAAAATGTTCCACAGAGCTACGTCAAGTGGTCATTACAATTTTTTATCAATGCGTGAAGTCGATGAATCAACACAATCCAACGCGAAGAAGATAGTAGACGAAAAAATATTTAATAGTATCCTTATAACAATCGGAGAATACAGGGCAGACCCTTCATGTGTGTTTCAACGCTCCGCGAACGACTGGCTTTCAGCAGAAGTCTCGCCATGATTTAATATAGAGACTCCCACCCTCTCACGGCGTTCTAGTTGTCCCTTTAGGACGACTGAATAACAGGAAAACTTCGCTTGGAAATCCTGTGCTTCATGTCACAATCGTTGTATTGCGAGCTCTATTGCTTCGGCACCTATTCATATTCTTACGTGTATATATATATATA